CCGAATCCTCAGCCTTTTCTTTTGCATCTCGCTCTTTGGCCTCGGCCAGCTCGTCTTCGTCCTTGTCTTCCTCCGAGGGTTTTTTGTTCTGCGAGTAGAGCATGTCCAGCATGAAGAGTTTGCTGTTGAGGATCTTGTTTCGTTGTTCGTTGCTGACGCTCTGAGCTGACCACTGACCTGCAGCAAACACACAGAAAGAAGAACCTCAGATACACTAGTTACTAGTTTACCAATGGTTCGGCCCCATGATTTGTTAAATATTTATTTTAATTTGATCATGTTTTAGCTACCAATGAGAGTGCAGTGCTCACTTTTTTACTATGTTTACTTTTAGCCATATTTTTTTTAAATTAGTTTAGAAAATGTGAAAGTCTATATTGATTATTATAGTTTAGAAAAAAACTTTTTAAATTTTTTATTTTATATCATATTTAATTGTGTATTATTTAATATATAGATATAATTTGTAATTTTATAATATATACTAATATAATAACTAATTTAGATTGGTTATACATATATATATTTTATATATATTATATATATTATTATATATATAATTTTCATTTTTGGGTGAACTATCCCTTTAATACATATATTATGCATTACATTACATTTAATAATACTCCTTATGTCCATTTTATTTAAATTAACTTTACATTTTAGTTCAGCTTTAGATCAGTATTTATAGTTTAGCATTTTCAAATGTGTTTTTATTTTAATATTTCAGATTTTTTTTTACATTTAATTTGACATCAGTTATATAATTTATAATAATTCATATAATTTAATTATTAGGGCTGTCAATCGATTAAAATAGTTAATCGCGATTAATTGCATGATTGTCATGAGTTAACTCGTGATTAATCGCAACTTAATCGCACATTTTATCTGTTCTAAATTAACCTTAAATTAATACGTTTCAAGTTTTTAATACTCTAATCAACATGGGCATAGACAAATATGGATGCTTTATGCAAATGTATGTTTATTATTAGTGAAACCACAGTCAACATAGAGCATGAAGACTAGACATGTTTCAAAGGTCATAGATGTTTTTCAAAGAACTTGTTCATGTCTGCATGAAAAAAGAACATAGAAATAGCAGGTTCCCATTACGTCTCTTTCTTTGCACTGAGCAGTTTACTTACACAAGCCTGTTTACTCTATTCGTGCGATAGGGCAGCTCACTTCTTCTGAACATGCAAAATGTTCATTTATTATTTATTATTACATTTGATTGCCTCTCTGTGCCCACATACTGTATTTTTGATGACTGTTTCTGTTGTCAGACAACGGAATGAATATGAAATAGTGACTGAAATGTGACCCATTAAGACTAAATAACCAGCTCTCCCTTCCATGATGTTAATCTGCACAAAAATCCTGATTTATAATCGAGCCGTCGTCTGATGAAATCAAATAGGCTACGCATAAGATAAAGACAATAGCTGTGCTGTGATTTTAACTATACTTGCATGTAAAATTAGAGAAGCAACATAATATGTGTTTTAACTGAAAGCGCTGCTCCTCTGCAGCTCGCTGAACAGAGCATACCGGCGAGTCTCAGAAACTAAATAAGGTTTGGGCAAACCCTAAAGATTTGTCGCTAGGCGCTTTTCTGAAAAAAAAAAAAAAGTCGCTAAAGGGGTCTGAAAAGTATGGAAGCCCGTTTCCGTCACTGAATAAAAAATAAAAGAGGTAATTGCGACTTTTTATCTCACAATTCTGACTTTTTTTTATCAGAATTGCGTGATATAAACTCGCAATTGCGAGTTAAAAAGTCATAATTGAGAGATATAAACTCACAATTCTGACTTTTTTTCTCGCAATTCTGTCTTTTTCCCCCCTCAAAATTGGACTTTAACTCGCAATTGCGAGTTTATATCTCACAATTCTGAGAAAAAAAGTCAGAATTGCGAGTTTATATCTCGCAATTGTTACTTTATATCTCGCAATTCTGACTTTATAACTCACAATTCTGACTTTTTTTCTCAGAATTGTGAGATATAAACTCGCAATTGCGAGTTAAAGTCCAATTTTGAGGGGGGAAAAAG